CAAACGCTTCAGGTTAGCAACATATGCTGCAGGAACAGCTTTTGCTCATCCAATCAAAGGTACTTCCGATTAGCTAAAACTAAGTTGAATTAATCTAAAACTTCGTCACCCACTGGTTAAAAGAGGGTATTTATACCCAGATTAGCCAAAATATGTGAAAAGCACAATAATACTACGTACTACTAGTACGTGGTAGTTAGTACTTATTATAGTATAAATACGAAGTAATAATATAAAAGCCATACAAGTAAAGCCATTAAACCGTCCTATATGGTTAACTTTATTCTGTCATGAAGTGCTGCTGTAATCTAGATTTTGTACAGTAACGTATACCACAGCTTTGTGGTAGGTACACACTCTGGACGACAGCAATCGTTATCGTAGTCTTTCCGTGTTGCGCTACATAAACCGCTCCCATTTTACGCGCCAAGCTCTGGCACACGGCAACCATTTCCCAGCCATGCTTCCATAGCGAGCATGACACGCATGTACTATATGCTCCATTGCTCACCGTCCGTACGTACGTGGGTGCACCGAGGTCGATATGTACCCTAGCACTTCTCAACAATACTCGTGTGTGCACCGAGGTGGACCCCGATACATTGTACTTCGAAGTATGTATTGTGCATTCCACTCGTTTTTGCTATTCACATCGTAAACCTGGGTGTTTGTTACATCGACCCCAGTGTTTAGATAATCCGCAACCGTGATTTACCAATACTAGTACTGTACCCTAGGTACTGTAAACACCGAGGTCGTTTGTTTTGAAGTCCCACCTCGTCTCCATTTTGGAGGGGGGGTGTTTGTTCACCTTGGGTCGACAGATCTTGAGCTCAATAACTTTATCCCGTTGTTATTATCGACTGAACATTCTATCTGTCCTGTAAAACTGCTGGACGAGTACACTCGGTCCAGTCCACAGCAACGACAGCCTCGGGGTAGTATTTCCGTGCCGAAAGGGTTGATAACGTCGACTGGTTGTGGCCAGACAGATTGCGATGGGGTAATATTATACTTCTTTTAATAGTATAATCCAACGTTATTATAAAGTACTATTAGAATAGTACTTACAGTTAATAATAACGTTGGATTTCTTGTTAAAACCCCATGTCAAGTGGTCGACCGAATTATGTCGCAATATACGTATACCAGTACTACTATTAATAGTACTGTATAGTAATAACAATGATGATTTCAAATGGTACAGCAGTGTACAGTAGTATAGTAAGTATTTCTAGCACATGGTAGTACCGCAAACACTTAATATGGCAAATATTACATACTTTTATCCAATGAAAATCCATTATTCCTATGAAAATCGATATATTTGACCAATCAAACTTGGTTGACGTGCGGTGGGAGAAGACAGGGATCACATGTCGGACTACTTCGAATCACTTTACAAATTACAAGCTCATCCATTGATCGTTTATGGGACGGAAGACATGGTACCGTACATTTGTTATCGTATCGGATATGGGATACATGAACCATAAATTAGAGTTTGTAAGTCGCGTATGAGAAATACAACCAGGTATTTACCAGCAGGACGTGTCATCCCTCCATGTAGAGTCTGTGAACTTCGATTTGGGCCCAGAGATGGAAGGGCTCCTCGTCATTGCACCAACTTCCTCGTAGGACATGCTCAAGTGGCCGAAGAAGCACGCGTCGTCTGTGCTAGCGAACAACCAGGACGAGGACCTGCATGGCCAGCACGACAATGGAGCCCCACCGCACACACCACCCACCGCCACCAACAACGGCGGGAGAAGCAAACGCTCCAACAGCTTGTACAACATGTTCCACGGCAACAAAGACCCTGCCGTCGAGCCTGCGACCGACGCACCCACTCCAAACCGCCACAGCGACGTGCCATCCTCGAGCAACCAGGACGACAACAACCTCGCGACGCCGTCGCTCCTTCATCCTGCCCTTCAACCGAACGAGAAGAAACACCCCAACAAGTTCCTCGAAGGCACGAACAAGTGGCTCGAAACGACCAAGCGCCGCTTCTCCACCGCTACTACCACCACTGTCCTTCCTCGGTAAGGATGTCCCATGCACATAGCTTTGTCTATGACGAGGAGGACGACGACTTTCTGAATCGCTTCGTTGGTCCCACCTTGTTTTGCAGGAGCCGCGCGTCCACTGCAACAAACTCTCCGTTGAACGACCGCCATGTAGGCGAGTATGTGCACACGGCAGGCGGCGCGGGTGTCGTGGTGGAAGTCAAGTCGGACGGCAGCGCGGTCGTGCGCTTGGTCTCGACCGAGTACGTGAACTGCTCCATGGTGATCGTCGAAGTCGGCGGCGAAATCGAACCGTTGCCAGTGTTGCCGCAGGATACCGTACGTTGTTTGTCGATTTTCATATGTGGATACCGTATACTATATGTCATTTGTAGGTCATCACCGCCGACGGCGTCGGCACCGCTGTCGCATACAACCCCAAGACCAAGGAATACACGGTGGAGCTTCTGGACCATGTCACACAAATGTTTGCGATCCATCAAGTCCACGCCATGGACAACAAGGACAACGACCCGACGTTATCCCCGCCGCCGCCGTCGTCGGCTGATCCCGCTTCGGTATATCTCGATTCAGACAACTCGACCGAATCCCAATATGAAGAAAGAATATATATATATACCCAAAATATTTGACCTTTGGTGCGGATTCTTTGCCAAATCCTTCGATATATCGATTGTTTCTACTGACTTTTGGAAGTGTCACACTACTTACAGTCCCACACGAATTCAATGTTGCGTTGGTCGAACAGTGGATGATGATTTGATTGGCTACTTGATTCGTGTTGTGGGTTTTGATTGGTCGATATATCGATGTACTTGGTTGTTATTCTGGTCAAACACTCGAATTTCGTGAATAATTGACTTATATATTGTAGGCGACGTCGCTCCGTTCGAGTTTTCTCCAAAAAGTAGCCAAAGCGACCCCCAAATTTCCAACTTTATTGAAAACTCGATCCACTGGCAGCGTACCGAAGTACGTGGCAGGCCAAGCAGTGTTGACTCAATATGGCGACGGTGTCGTGGTCGAGGTACATACAGTAGTACGAGTTGCTCCACAACGTGATCAGATACAAGTCCATATATATATATATATATATATACACGTAGGTTCACCCAAACGGCGGCGGCGATGTGCTTGTGGTGCACTTGAGCTTTGGGGCGACGGCGTACCTCCAGGCAGATGCGATCAAGCAGAGCTTAAAGGCAACCGTGGGGGACCTGGTACAGACCCGGTTTGGCCAGGGAGTGGTCGCGGCGGTGGCGGAAGGGCATGTGTTCGTGGTGACTGTGGACAAAGAAGATATGTATGTGCACGCGACGGAACTGACCAAGATCAACCACTCCACTTCGCGCAAGTTTCTGCACTTGTTTAAAAAGTAGTAGGAGCACCGAAACAGTGTACATTGAATCGTCTTGAGTCTTATTGGCCAAAATGGTTCTGCGTAGAAACGTCGAACATTACAAAGCTAGCTGCTACTACCTCTGTCCAATTATAAGTGGTCGAATTTCGAAAAAGTCAGTTTTTTCCTTGACTAATGGGAGTTCGGGCATTATATGATACCCATTGGAACGGCAAAAGTGTTAGCTATCCGAATTCGATATTATTTACTAATAAAACACAACAAAAGTATACCAATTTCCAGAAAACCCATCAATACTAAAATACACCTTACCGAAGCATTTTTTTTAGAATGCATAGGAGTCACCCGTGTGTCCACATCCTGATTGTGCAAATGCGACCAGCCCTACCGTTTATCCGGATAATTCCTGGATAACTACACCTTTTCCCAATCAAGTTGCGCACTTTTTCCAATCAAGTTGAATCGGATATAAAATATAAATTTTCACGAGAGATGTGGAGTGCAAAAGTTCGGATCAACATGAATTTTGTTCCAATCAAAGTGAACCACAGAAGCGCGCGCGCCCAACATGTAAACTGTCAATGCACAATGATCATTTTCCAATCACCCAACTTGTCTTCGCATGAAAACACACAAAGGCCCCACCGCGAAGGAGAAGAAGCGTGTTCTCGACGCCTTCCTCCGCGGCGACAACTGGAACGCGTTGTCCAACACGATGACATGACGCTGCTGCGCCTTGGCCCCTACTCACCGATGCTGAACCCGATCGAAAGCTGCTTCAGCGTCTTGAAGGCTCGCATCAAGAGCTACCTCGCCCTCCAGACTTATGCTATGTTCGAGCGTGGTGAGTATGGGACGTTTCTCGAACGACGAATGGTCTTACTTGAGGATGCTCCTCGCGCGTCGCTGCCATGCATCACACAGCCGTTGGTGGTCCGCGAGGTAATCTTCTGTCAGCGCAACGTCGAAAAAGCCATTCTATTGAAGAGCATGGTGTATGGTCAGTAGGCAGTTCATATGGAATGGAAAAAGTTCATATTGGCTTGGAAATTTGTGTGTTTTTAACCACCCACCGTTTTAAAAATGACGTTTCAAACGTTTTTTTGCCAACTTGATTGGAAAAAGTGCGCAACTTGATTGGGAAAAGGTGTAGTATGCGAATATTCGGCTATTCTCCGGTTGTGGTTTGCCGCCAACTCATGGCGCGATTAGGCAATCAAACCGACCAGCCCCAACCACACTTCTTTCCCTCTTCGTTCTGGCCACTCATTTCGAAATATGCGCAAGGGTGAGCGCAAGAAGAACCTCACGGACTGTGAGTGCGATAACTTGGTGCAGCACCTGCTGACGAAGTGCGCCAGCAGCGGCAGGATCCTCAAGGGTGTTGCCGCAAGCGTTGGCATGTTGTTCGGTTGCTCTGTGACGACTGTTCGCCGTGTGTGGCGACGTGGTGCGGTTGACCTATCCGGGACCAAGACGATTTGCCGCAATGTCCACCAGCGCAAGAAGGACAACTGCGGACGCAAGCGCATTCACTTGGACCTGCCCGAACGTATCCAGGCCATACCACAGTCCCGTCGTTACTGCTTTCGTTCAATCGCCCACGTGCTTGGCATCCCGAAGTCTACGCTTCACTCCTACTACAAGCGTGGCGTGATTGCCAAGTACTCGAGCGTGCTGAAGCCATCCCTAACGGAGTCGAACAAGGTTTGTCGTCTCAATTGGGCCTTGCAGAACGTGAAGGACATCGATGGTGCCAAGTTCTTCGACCCAATGTTCGACACCGTCCACGTAGACGAGAAATGGTTCTTCATGTCTCGCGTTCAGAAGAAGGTATATGGCGCACCCGGCGAAAAGATCAAGTAGCGTTCCTGCAAGTCGAAACGCCACCTGCTGAAGGTCATGTTCTTATCGGCCGTTGCGAGGCCACGATGGGACGACAACAAGGAAGAGTGGTTCGACGGGAAGATTGGAACGTGGCACTTCACGGAGACTGTCCCAGCGCAGTGCCGAAGCAGCCGACGCGACGCAGGAACGCCAGTGATGAAGACAGTATCTGTGATACGGGAGACATACAAGAAGATGCTGATCGGACAAGTCATCCCAGCAATCCGATGCCAAGCACCGAGACCAAGACCATCAAGATTCAACAGGACAATGCCCGTCCGCATGTCCCCCCAGTCGATCCAGACGTTGTCGCTGCCTGCAAAGACCAAGGCTGGGACATGGAGGTTGTTTTTCAACCTCCAAACTCCCCTGACATGAATGTCTTGGATCTTAGTTTCTTCCGAGCCATCCAGACCTTGCAAGCGGAGAAGCATTCGAGCTGCCTGGAGGACATCGTTACTGCTACTGAAGCGGCTTGGGCCGACGTGAGTTCAACGACGCTCAACAAGAACTTTCTGACCCTTCAGAGATGTCTTCAAGAGGTTATTCTCAATCAGAGTGGGAATGACTATAAGATTCCGCATATGAAGAAGGATGTATTGCATGCTCGTGGTAGGTTGCCAGAAATGGTTTCCTGTGCGAGAAATGCTTGGAGTTTTGGTTGTGCATACTTGAGTGGGGTAGACTATTCTACTCACATGAATAAACTCGCCACGGAGATCCTCGAGAGCATGCAGATGGGTGCAATTTGCACTCAGATTGAGGCATTAAAGGTTGACATTGACGTGGATGTTCATGCCGACATTGCTGCTGCATTGGGCCTCATTCAATTGTTGGATTAGCTGAAGCTCGTAAATTCCGAATATGAAAAACGACCATTCTTTCTTGGAAATTTGATTTCACAAATTCGACCACTTATAATTGGACAGAGGTAGTAGTAGTTCATACTAAAAAATAAAGTACGTACTCCGGAGTAATAAATACTATCTTTTCAACTGTCGGCAGCTCAACTGTCGACGTAACACACTGATACAGACGGATAATTATCCGTGTGTACGGTTAATTATCCGGGTAATATGAATTTCAACTCCAATACAGTAGGAAAACTAACATTAAGCACGAAAGTGATAATGGAACGGTGGACTTTTCTCTTATGTAGTGACTGCTCAATGATGGAGCAGCAACATAGTAGGCTTCAATGTTCGTTGTTGCCCTGTGTAAGTACGACATAACACTGTGACGCTCTACCGGTACACAGAAGTAGAATTAAGCATCTGAGCGATACTTGCGAGATCTCCAGATATTTTGATAGATGGTGCTATGTGAGTCATTCATCCCACCCTGAGCATTGTATCGTCATGGCGATGGTTGATTGCGTTACCGCAGATAATGCCAGCTACAAGGTTGAGTTACCACCTCGAAGCACTGCAATACTGTACTCAGGGAGTTTACGAGACCACTTCGTACCTAGCTCCCTAGCATACTGGTGTAGTAGTGGAAGTGCCTGGTACTTAGTGTATTCGTCAAGAGGTTTTAGTTGCTTCCCAAACACATCAATCAATTAAGTGACTGCCTCGTCATAGTAAGTACTGTAAGTCTAACATTCGCGCGATTGCCGGTAATGTTTAGTAAAGCGCAAAGAGAAGTGACCAGCTTACGAGCATTGTGATGATTTCGTGGCTTGTGGTTGCCTATAATCAGAGAAGGTTTGTAGTGGTTTCAAGATGTCATAACTGTTGTTCGATATCCATTTTTGTTCAAGGGTTGTAGTTGTTTCAATTTTCCCTAACGGTCTATAATCTAACTGTTGCTTCATTGTTTTCCACTCTTGATTTTGACCTCGCCATCGAAAGTGCTGTATGGACTCTATTCGTAATTCGTCGGTTGTTCAATCTACCGCGGAGATCAATGAACAATACCATATATTGTCGCATGGTGTCGTAACCTCCGTTGTGTGTCCCAAGGTGTTGTACCCCCAGTTGTTTTCCATGGTGTCCCTTAGAGTTGTACGAAGTGGGTATTTGATTGTATGAGGAACTACCAGAACAGACAGCTAGTATGTGCTAATCGTGCAAGCTATAGAACTTCTGAGGGGAGCATAGTAGTTGAGGGGGAGCATAGTAGTTGAGGGGGAGCATAGTAGCTGAGGGGAAGCATGGTAGCTGAGGGGAAGCATGGTAGCTGGGGGGAAGCATGGTAGCTGAGGCGGAGCATAGAAGCGGAGTGTATGAATAGTGATTATGGATAGATATGTACTTACTACTTACTACCCTGGACGATCTCGTCACCAGCAAGTGGACGACTCCAGCTTATACATTTCAACGCCTACAGTACGTGAAGCGACTTGGTGACCCAAAGGCAACTTACAGTTAATCTGTGGCTACGGTACTTTTTACCTACATCTTACAGCTCTATACAGTCACATCTTACAGCTCTATACATGTACATCAATGGCTCCCAGCAGGAACAATTTTGTCCTGCTACAGTACCAGTACTTGTAGGTGGCTGCCAAGTTAAGTTAGAGAAATTATGATTGCTGCTTGATGTGTGGTGCGACCAGCAAAAGGAATGGACTGACTTCAAGAAAAATAAAAATTTACGCAGGGATTTGAACCAGCGACCTCTGCCACTCCAACTACAGCTTTTACCCAATGAGCTATTCGTGCCACGGCACTAGTGGCTGAACAATAAATCATTTCACGAGTTTAATGAGCTACGCTTTTACTACGTAGTACTGTACTAGTACTATTCTGTGCTGGAAATTTGGCCTATTAATGGTACTACGTAGTACTTCGAAGTGTACTACAGAGAACCGAGTAGGAACTGTACAATGCAGTTCTACCGTTACTAACGTTAATACGATAATTCCGTCATCAACTGCAGAATCATCAGCAATCGCCGTTGATCTGTACGTATATGAATGACTTCCACCTCGCGATAAAGATGCCCTAGCAGGAATAACTACAGTAATAGTGCATGTATGTTTACTCAGGCAAACGTCACTTAAAGGTTGGTGCGTTAGGATTATTTAACCAGGTTTACTTACAGTAGTGTAGACGTCTAGGGATCACCCTAATGTCATAGTGGTCGGGGTTCGATGCCCCAAACAACGATTCTTTTTCCTGAAATGTACAGTACCTTCACACTATAAAACAATATCGTGTTTTACAGTACTCCAGATTCACCTACCTACAGTAGTACCTGCAACTACGTCGATAATTTTGACCACGACATAGTGAACACCCACATGCAACTACGTCGGAGATTACGTCGCTTTGACAAACTTTCTAGTGTGAATCTGCTGAGGCCACTTACAATGCCATCTGTTCAACCCATATGCTGGGTAGTTGAAGTACACGGTCGGATTTTCCGGTAATCCTTCCCGTTTTTCCGCTTTATGGTCTGTTTTTCACGGTTAGCCCACTACCGGTATCTATCCGCTTGCTCAGCAGCCAATTGGAAATGTTTTTGTGCCATGATATTTCCTATGCTGCATATCGCATGATGAAAGATCAAGTTCCTGATCAAAGACTTGATGGCTGACTTGAAGTATGATAACGATAACAAATGTTTTGAGTGGAATGTAGGAGTTGTTGCTGATTCGTCTAATATTGTCATGACGATTTGCGTTGATCAGAATTATATACTGTACCTCGATCTCGCACTTATTTGTGCTAGGAAACGCTTGTAATTGCCTCCTAAGACATCGCGATTGTGAAGTACGATCGGTTTGTGAACTCGTCGTGTTGTCTGATCCCCCCAAGACTCCAATGATGCAACGATTGAAAGCTTCGATGAAGTGCGTTGACGTCTCAGTTCTTACACTAGAGTATCTATAAGTCCAAGTGGTTCATAGAACGCGTACTTGTGCAAAATGGATAGAATCACGGAATTCCTCTCAAATCAATTCATTTTGAGTAGAGGCAGGACGCATGTGGAAGCAAATGTGTTTTGACTAAAATTCTTGGAACTAGTTCCAAGAATTTCAACAATCAAATAGTTGGGCGGTATTTTTTACATGCTGCAAATACCAATTTACACACTTAGGAAATCATAAAAACATTTCCAATTGGTTGGTGAGCAAGTGGATAGTGTTCCAAAGGTTTAGTACTATTTGACGATGTGACATGGTAAAATTGTAAATATTGCTGTTATACAGTACTACACCATTTTTCAATTGACTTGGACATTTTCTCGATGGATTCGGACAGATCACTATTGGATTTGGTACCCATGTTCGGTGTGCCCATTGGATTTGGCACGGCCCCCTCGTGTGCCCATTCGATATGCCCATGCGCCTTATAGAATTGGTTTGTACCCAACCAAACAACCTTTAGATCCTTCAAAAGTGTCGTGCTTGCATTCAATTAGGAAAACTCAAAACTGAATTCAATAAATCATCCAAAGGATGAAAATAAAACATTTGCAAGGGTTCATAATGAACCGTCTTGTACCGGTACGTGAACACCACGTTTGTCGAGTTCACGATGCAAAGTCGATGTGGACACCTCGATGCCGAAATCAAGCGCCAATCGATCTTTGATCTCTTGGAGCGTGATTTGGACGTCATGCTCCACCCAACTTTGCAGCATGTCGACGTTTTCCTCCGTCAGGAGTCGTGATATTTGTTTCCCCCTACATGACAATGTTAGATAGAGTAGACACGACTTTCATACCTCGTTGTTTCGACGTCAACGAGTCCAGATGCAGCCAATTCCGTGCGCTACTGATGTTGACGCCTTTCGCTTGAGCGACGCGCTTCCAGTCCATCGCGTTGTTGAACGCATCAACTATGCGCTTCTTGGCCGACAACGGAATGCGTTTGTACGTTCGTTTGGTGGTGTTTGGGGTGCTGTGTTCTCCATGGTTCACTGTCACGCGGGAGATTTGAAAGTGACGAAAAGCGCGCGAGAATTATAGAACCCCCCGTCCGATGTTCTAGAAAAAGCAATTGCCAACTGTAAAGAGTGCACGACACTTTTGAAGGATCTAAAGGTTGTTTGGTTGGGTACAAACCAATTCTATAAGGCGCATGGGCATATCGAATGGGCACACGAGGGGGCCGTGCCAAATCCAATGGGCACACCGAACATGGGTACCAAATCCAATAGTGATCTGTCCGAATCCATCGAGAAAATGTCCAAGTCAATTGAAAAATGGTGTAGTAAAGCAGCCAGCCAACTATATAGTGTTCCAAAGGTTTAGTACTATTTGACGATGTGACATGGTAAAATTGTAAATATTGCTGTTATACAGTACTACACCATTTTTCAATTGACTTGGACATTTTCTCGATGGATTCGGTTGATATACCATTGGATTGAATGACGTGCCCATTCGAATGAATGAGTGCCCAATGGATTTGGTACCCACGTTCGGTGTGCCCATTGGATTTGGCACGACCGCCTCGTGTGCCCATTCGATATGCCCATGCGCCTTATAGAATTGGTTTGTACCCAACCAAACAACCTTTAGATCCTTCAAAAGTGTCGTGCACTCTTTACAGTTGGCAATTGCTTTTTCTAGAACATCGGACGGGGGGTTCTATAATTCTCGCGCGCTTTTCGTCACTTTCAAATCTCCCGCGTGACAGTGAACCATGGAGAACACAGCACCCCAAACACCACCAAACGAACGTACAAACGCATTCCGTTGTCGGCCAAGAAGCGCATAGTTGATGCGTTCAACAACGCGATGGACTGGAAGCGCGTCGCTCAAGCGAAAGGCGTCAACATCAGTAGCGCACGGAATTGGCTGCATCTGGACTCGTTGACGTCGAAACAACGAGGTATGAAAGTCGTGTCTACTCTATCTAACATTGTCATGTAGGGGGAAACAAATATCACGACTCCTGACGGAGGAAAACGTCGACATGCTGCAAAGTTGGGTGGAGCATGACGTCCAAATCACGCTCCAAGAGATCAAAGATCGATTGGCGCTTGATTTCGGCATCGAGGTGTCCACATCGACTTTGCATCGTGAACTCGACAAACGTGGTGTTCACGTACCGGTACAAGACGGTTCATTATGAACCCTTGCAAATGTTTTATTTTCATCCTTTGGATGATTTATTGAATTCAGTTTTGAGTTTTCCTAATTGAATGCAAGCACGACACTTTTGAAGGATCTAAAGGTTGTTTGGTTGGGTACAAACCAATTCTATAAGGCGCATGGGCATATCGAATGGGCACACGAGGGGGCCGTGCCAAATCCAATGGGCACACCGAACATGGGTACCAAATCCAATAGTGATCTGTCCGAATCCATCGAGAAAATGTCCAAGTCAATTGAAAAATGGTGTAGTACTGTATAACAGCAATATTTACAATTTTACCATGTCACATCGTCAAATAGTACTAAACCTTTGGAACACTATCCACTTGCTCACCAACCAATTGGAAATGTTTTTATGATTTCCTAAGTGTGTAAATTGGTATTTGCAGCATGTAAAAAATACCGCCCAACTATTTGATTGTTGAAATTCTTGG